GATAGATAGATAGATAGATAGATAGATAGATAGATAGATAGATAGGCGGACAGATAGCTAGACTGATAGATATGTAGATGGATGGATGGATGAATGGAAGGACGGATGGATGGATGGATGGATGGACGGATGATGGATGGATGGATGGATGGATGGATAGATGAATGAGATAGATAGATAGATAGATAGATAGATAGATAGATAGATAGATAGATAGATAGATAGATAGATAGATAGATAGATAGATAGATAGATGACAGGCATGCAGAAATTTAACAACAGTGTATTTGACTGTGTTCTACGCGAGAGGCGCTGTCTCCTCTGTGGTAAAAAGCGGAAGTGACGCAGCTTAAGCGAGATGTGACGCTACAAAGTGAAAGTATGGCGGCATCCATTGAAGCTGGACTAAAGTTCATCGCGGTTGCTCCCTGTAACGCACTTTACGGTCACACAAACTTCTACACGAATATGTGTCGAATTCCCGCTGGTCATTTGCTGTTTATCTTTGATTTGCAGATTGATGCGCGCGCAGGGAAGCCGGGAACGCGCACGGAAAACGGGTGGTTTAAACCGGTGAGGATAGTGTGCTTTAAAACTCAAAGGTTTGCTAATACATAGCATAATATAACTATTTATTAAACTATTCCTATTGTATATTATGTTTAGATGTGTTGTTTAGTTCGTTATAGCTGTTGTTTAGAGGGGTGTGCTTTGTTTTTGTTTGGTTCTGGTGGATTATTTGCATATATGCATATTTAAGGTAAACGTCAAACATTGGTTGAGCTAATTCATTTTTAGGTTTTTGGTGCTTAAATTTTGTTATGTGATTGCTAGAAAACCATTTTATAAAATATAAGTTCTGCCGTAAGTGTGAAATTAATATGTTTTGATGTCTGCATGAAATTAAATTTAAATTACAAGAATTAATAAATTACATAGAGAGCACATTAAATACAAGTGTTAACACACTTATTCTGACCTGTTAAACTCATTTTCTAAAATGTAAGCACAACTGTATGTCTCATATTGATATAAGACATCCTGTTTTTTATGGCTGCATGACATTTAATATAAAATACAAGAATTATTCATAGATTAATATTTCTACACTTTTAGGGAGAATTTAATCATCAACAGNAACCCGCAACATCCTAGGCTGGTTTTAGCTGGAATTTTCAGCAGATTCCGATTCTCTGTATGTGCTGTTCATGTGGTTCAATTGACAATAAAGCTGACTGACTTTTAAGTCTAAAATGAGCGACATTTTATTTTGTGCACCAGGGGGCAGTACAGGAAAGAAAAACTCCAATTCACCTTTAGTCACTGCAAAAGTAAAGAAAAGAGAGATTTGTCCATGTAATTTAATCTCCCTTAAAAGTTTTGAGTTCGGAAGTCAAACTGACATCTCACACAAAAACGAGCATATACGGCTAAATCAAATTAAAACAGTTTATTCAAACAAACACACGTGCCAGGCTGAAACAACGTGAAGAGGACCACAGGTGCGTTTAATGTGAAAGAAACAGACAGTAAATAAAAGAGTAACACCTTCAGGAAATCAAGACACTTCACAACACGCGTGGTTTTGTTGCCTCAAGCGTTTGGTAATTGACATTTGCATCAAGATCGTAAAAAGGCTTGCCGGAAGTAGCTGACGCGCTGATTAATGTTAAACAAAACAGTGAACGTTATGGAAATAAGATCGATGTGAGTGGGAAAACTTGATGTTCAAGAGCGGGATGTTCGTCATATGAATGTGGGGGGTTTATTTAATTACCGCAGAGTTGTGACTTTATCAATTTGACAGGTTGAGAACATGTCATTAAAGGGACACGCAGATGTGTGAGAGTCATGACCCATAATAACACTTACCATAAAGCCTGCAAACAGTAAACAACATATCCCGTATCGACACAGGTGGATAGATAGATAGATAGATAGATAGATAGATAGATAGATAGATAGATAGATAGATAGATAGATAGATAGATAGATAGATAGATAGATAGATAGATATTGGATTCGAGGCAGGTGATTGGCTGGGCCATTCTACAACTTAATTTTTTTTTTCTCTGAATGCATTTGAGAGTTTCCTTGGCTGTGCATTGGATCATTGTCTTTGCTGAAATGTCCACCTTGGTTTCATCTTCATCATCCTGCTAATGTAAATGTTTGACTGAAGCAGCTAATATTCATTTACAATGAGGAAGGGCAGAGGGTTGCTGAAGAACTACTGAGAGATTTCAGCTGCTGTCTGGGCTTTCGCTGCCTTTCTACACCTCGTTTTCTTCATGTGTTCAATACTTACTCCCTGTGTCATTTTATTTTAATACACATAACTTAATTTGTAAACTAATTAGATGTTTTCTTTTTATATGTGAATTTCTTTGGTTGTTATCAACGTCTGGGAAAAGCAGCCTTAAAAATGGGTTTTCTGAGAAAAATGATGACGTTCACTTATTGTCCCCGCTATAGATAGATAGATAGATAGATAGATAGATAGATAGATAGATAGATAGATAGATAGATAGATAGATAGATA